TACAAATGAAGAGACAAAACATCCACAAAGGGCCAGGAAAATAAAAAATGCCTAAAAGCTGCAGCAACTGTTCTGAATAATGACCCTGAAATTAATCCAGGAATTGCTTCCTAAGGGAAGACAGCTTAGGGACAGGTCACTGCAGGCCGATGTGTTGGTGGTTGTCTTCAGTCACTGCCCCAGGTGAGAAGCCTGTCCTCAGCCTCAGAGCTGCCTGCCATCTGTCATAGGGTCCTCGTGCCTTCCCTCCCAAAGAGAGCCCTGTCCCCCCCCCACCACCACCAGTCTGAGGCACCTCCAGCAGCACTCAGACACACAGCTGTAGATCCTCTGTCCGGGAGGGAAGGACTCAGCCAGAGTGAGAGCAGTGTTCTCAGCCCTGGCGGCACTCCTGACAACGCCCAATGCCAGGGCCCCACCCCAGGGATTCTGATTTAATTGGCCTGGTGTAGGAACTAGGCAGTAGTTTGGGGTTTTCATTTGTTTTTTTGTTTTGTTTTGTTTTTGTTTTATAGCAGCAGAGTCTCACTCTGTTGCCCAGGCTGGAGTGCAGTGGCACCATTACAGCTCACTGTAACCTCAAACTCCTGGGCTCAAGCAATCCTCCTGCCTCAGCCTCCCAAGTAGGTGGGATTAGAGGCAGACGCCATACCTGGCTACATTTTTTTTTTTTGGCCACCACCCCACACCCAATTTTAATTTCTTTTGTAGAAACAGGGTCTCCCTATGTTGCCTAGGCTGAAATGCCGAACACCTGGCCTCAAGCCATCCTCCTGCTTCGGCCTCCCAAACCACTGGAATTACAGGCATGAACCACCATGACCAGCCAGGTTTGTTTTTTAATTGAAGTAAAACATAGCCAAAAAAAAAAGGCACACAAATCATGTGTGCAGCTCAGCAAATTATCACAAAATGTATATGTTTTTCATATTTGTATAACTGGATATATCACTATTCTGTTGAAGAACATTTCAGTTGTTTGTAGTTTGAGCAATTACAAATAATGCGATTGCAAATATTCTTGTACATTTCTTTTGGTGCAAGTATACATGTATTTCTCTTGAGAATAAACCTAGGAGTGGAATTGCTGGATCACTGGGTAGGGGATGGTTCAATTCTAATGATGCTGCCACACTTCTTTTCAAAGTGATTGTTCCAATTTATACTCTTATTAGCAATGTTTATAAATTCTAGTTCCTCCACATCCTAGCAGGAAGGCAGTGTTTGTTTGTTTGTTTGTTTGTTTTTGAGACAGCGTCTCACTGTCACCTGAGTTGGAGTACAGAGGCATGATCCTAGCTCACTGCAGCTGTGAACTCCTGAAGTCACTGCCCCAGGTGAGAAGAAATCCTCCTGCTTCAGCCTCCTGAGTAGCTGGGACTACAGGCTCACACCACTGCCCCTGTAAGAGCAGTATCTGTAAAAGTTCCCAGGGTGATTCTGCTGTGCATCAGGATAAAAACCACTGATGCCATCGTATGTCACATGCTTTGCAAATGCCATATGGTCTCACATGTGGCCGGAGTGCTGGGGGATATGGGGCATATAGTATAATGTTTTCATAACCTCCCAAGAAGCAAACAGGACAGATATATTTATTTCCATTTTGCTAATGAGGACGGTAAGACTCAAAGTTAATGGACTTGCCAGAAGTAACATAGACAGGTAGTGACAGTCAGGACTAAAGGCCAGGATTCTTGATTCCCATCCCTTTGCTTGTCCCAACATACAACATCACCTTATTCATTAGATGGCCCACATATAGGTTTTGGGCAAACCAGATGTCAAGGCACCTTCTCTGTTGTTCCCATTCCAGGGTTTAAGAAAGGAAAGAAAGCAGAATGACTCAGAATTTCCCTGTCACCAAAGTCTCTGGTCATGGTTGTGAGATGCACACAGCCTCTTCCTTCAGGCAGGGACACAGAACAGTAAATGTGCCCCTTCTGAGTCCTGGGAGTCTCCACAAGCAGAAGAGTCGTAGGTGTCTTCAGGAGCAACGTGGCCTGAACTTCCCTCAAGCCAGGTGGGCTCTGACACTCAGCTCTTCCTTGTCCTTGCTGCGTGACCTTGGACAAAGGGCCCCATTTCTTCAAGTCTCAATTTGCTCATCATTAAAACAGGAGCAATAATATATAGTATCTATAAAAACCTGATACCTAGTAAGCATTCAATACAATATGTTCCTAATATCACTAGAAAGAGCCTGTTAGTCCTACATCTTTAGTTTTTCCCTCTCTCTTTGATTTTTCTCATCAATATACAAAGGCAATTATTTCTCTTATATTTAAAAAATGCAACCATACTTCATCCTCTATTTCCATTTCTCTCTTCAGTTGACAACTAATGGCCTTCAAAGAATTGTTTGTAGTCACTGACTTCAATTCTTTCTCTTGATTCACTCTTGAACCTTTTCAAGGAGACTTTCACCCTCTCCACTCCACGGGCACAGCTCTTTTCAAGGTCACCGATGACTTTGACCTTGCTGAATGCGATGGTTGTTTCTCAGTCCTCATCTTACTTGCTCTGTCAGCAGCCTTGGGCGTGATCAGTTGTTTCCTCCTCCTTGGTTCATTTTCACTTTTTCACTTGGCTTCCAGCACAGACGTCACTCTACCCTTATTCTCCTATCTCACTGGATGGCCCTTCTTTCTTTTTGGCGTGTTTTTCCTCTTCTCTCCAATTATAAACACTAGACTGTTTCAGGACTTATGCCTTGGACTTCTCTTTTCCATCTACCATCATTTCCTCAAAAATCTCATCATCTCTTGGCTTTAAATGCCATCTTATCTCCAGCCCCACTTTCTTCCTTGAGCTGCAAACTCGTGTGTCTGACTGCGTACTTGGCCTTTCCGCTAGGATGTCGAACAGTGATCAGGAAGGTGAATTCCCATAACGAGATTCCTGCTCTTCCCCTAAACCTGGATCTATGTAGTAGGCTTCCCTTTCAGTTTGTGGTAACTCCCTTTTTCTGGTTGCTAAAGCCAAAAACTTTGACATTCTATTTGACTCCTTTCTTTTATCATACTCTACAAACAATCCATTAGCAAATCATTTTTACTCTATTTTCCAAATATGACAAGAATCTCACCACTTCTCACCATCTCTATTACTACTCCCCTGGTGTAAGATATTTTCTTCTCTCCCCTGGATCACCTGACTAGTCTCACCCTTGTCCTTCACAAGTTACTCTTGACAGCAGCCAGAATGATCCTGTTAAGATGCAAACGGGATCGTGTCACTCCTCTGCTTAAACCATACAGTGGCTTCCCACCTTGTTGAGAGTAAATCAAAGTCCTAACAAAAGCCCTCTGTGGTTCACCACCCAGCCACCCACCTACACCTTTCTGGCCTCACCTCCCTCTGCTCTTTCCCCTGTTCCTGTTCTTGAACTTGCCTGGCATGTCCTGCCTCCAGCCTTTGCATTTGCTGTTCACTAGGCCAGGAATGAATGTCTCATCCTCAAGCCTATTCCCTTCCTTCTTAAGGTCTTTATTTAAATGTCACCTTCTCAGTGAGGCTTTCCATGGCAAGCAAGCCTCTTTTATTTTCTCCCTAGGACTTCTCACCACTACGCGCGCGCGCGCGCGCACACACACACACACACACACACACACACACACACACGGCTGCTATTGTTATTCCACTATTATTATTATTATTTTGAGACAGAGTCTCACTCTGTTGCCCGGGCTAGAGTGTCATGGCGTCAGCCTAGCTCACAGCAACCTCAAACTCCTGGGCTCAAGCGATCCTGCTGCCTCAGCCTCCCACAGTGCTAGGATTACAGGTGTGAGCCACCACGCCAGGCCTCATTGTTATTATTTTTATCTCATTTATTGCTTGTTTTCCCCAGTAGAATGTACAGGGCATGTGAGCAGAGTTTTGTCATTTCAGTTCACTCCATCTTCCCCAGCACCTGGAGCACTTGCTTATAATAAAAGCTGAATAAATGTTGGTTTAATGAATGAATTAGTCCCTATTCACAAATGAAAAATAAAACAAACATCCTTGCTGAAAAGAGACCCTGGGGGAAATCCCCAACAGTTCTTTGGCCTGAGAGAAACACAACTAATTTGAAGGGGGAAATAGTTTTGGTTTTCCCCTTTATTTCTGAAAGTTCTATTTAACAAAGACCAGCCATGCCTGGCCCAGTAATCCCTTTCTAATCTTTCATATGCCTTAAGGAGAATGTAGAAAAGAGGGGCTGGTGGGGAGACTGGGTGGGGTGGGAGGCAGGAGGAGAGGGGAAGGAGAGAAGGGACTTGAGCTACAGGAACTGGACTTGCCCAGGGTCCTTTCTGCTTCTCTAGGTCCTGAGGCAGGTTTTCCACCTGTCTCTCTGTTTTCTGTCCCTCCCAGGTTCATGGCTCTTCCTATGCTGAGAATCCTTCTGTCTGGCTGCATTACTAATGGTGCTTCTTTTAGGTTGTATCACAGCCTCTCCTAAAAAATTTCCATCATCCAATGATGTGTCTTAAGAAAGAATAAAAAACTACTTACAGCCTGTCTAAATGCTATTTCTCCCATTAAAGGTGGGAGAGGGCTGGGTGCAGTGGCTCATACCTGTAATACTAGCACTCTGGGAGGCCGAGGCAGAAGGATTGCTTGAAGTCAGGAGATCAAGACCAGCCTGAGCAAGAGTGAAAGCCAGTCTCTACTAAAAATAGAAAAAATTAGCTGGTAGTGGTGGTGCTCACCTGTAGTCCCAGCTACTCAGGAGGCTGAGGAGCAGGATCACTTGAGCCCAGGACTTTGAGGTTGCTGTGAGCTTGTCGGACACCATGGGACTCTAGCCCAGGTGATAGAGTAAGGCTCCATCTCAAACAAACACACAAAAAAGGTGGGAGAGGGTGGGAGAGGGTGGAAGAGTGTGCTGACTGCCCCAGTGCCTGATAGGGAGGGGCAGTTTGCTTTGCTCTTTTGTATACAGTGATGACAGAATGGACAACCAGTTCTCCAGCCAGGACCAGCTGGCAAAGACAGATGAGGAAGCCACTTACCTGGTGTGATCTGAGGAGGTACCAAAGACTCTCTTACACCCCTCACCTGGAGAATATTTGCCATACTTTGATCAGGACAGCCCTTCTTGGGTTAAGGTGCTGTGTCCCTAGGGCCCATCTGTCAAAGCTCCAGATGTCCTTGTGGAAGGCAGAGGGTCCAATCCAAGACAGTCTCTAACACTTGTTGTGGTAAGAGTTCAAATGGAAGACTATAAAATATGTCAAAATATTTAAAAGTTACAATCAAGCCAACAAATTGATAAAATGCATTCCACCTTCCTACCTTGACAACAATCTGGAAAGCTGGGTTCAGATTTAGAATTCTCAGACTCCTTAGACTTCTCTGTCAGCAGTGGTAGCACATGGGGAACCAGCCCCCCTTCTCCTCCCAGCCTGGGTCCCTCCCACACCACAGGGGCCTCCTGCACAGGTATGTGGACACCCCAGTCTGCACCTCCAAGCTCTGTACAGCTGCCCCTTGGCCACCCTGGGCTTCAGGGTGCACACAGCAGTCTGCCCTCAGGAGGACCAACACCAGGAACAGGCTGAAGGAGGGCTGGGGCTCTTTGGGGTCTCAGGTTTCCAGAATGTGATCTTGAAGGACAGCATGGGCTCCAGGGTGAGGAGAGGGCATGGCCTCAAAGACTCCGCCCCCTAGAGAGGGGTATGGCAGAAGCAGTGCCCTCTAAAGTGCAGGGCTCAGGGCAGCGCTGCTTGCTGGGTCAGCAGCCGGGGGGCCAGCCCAAGAGTGAGGGAAAGGAAAGTCAGGACAGCAGGAATGGGCAAGGAGGTGAGTGAAAGTGAAAAGGCACCAAAAGCAAACCTGCTCGATAACTAACCTTGCTGTCCTTGGTTGTATTTTATTTACGTATGTATCGTAATGTATTTTTAAAAATATGTACTGCTTCATGAATTTGCATGCCATCCCTATGCAGGGACCATGCTAATCTTTTCTGTATTGTTCCAATCTTAGTATATGTGCTGCCAAAGTGAGCACATGATGTATGTATTTTTATTTTTTTGAGACAGAGTCTCACTCTGTTGCCCAGGCTAGAGTGCTGTGGTGTCAGCCTAGCTCATGGCAACCTCAAATTCCAGGGCTCAAGCAAACCTGTCACCTCAGACTCCAGGTAGCTGGGACTACAGGCATGCGCCACCATGCCTGGCTAATTTTTTCTATATATTTTTAGCTGTCCAAGTAATTTCTTTCTATTTTTGGTAGAGATGGGTTCTTGCTCTTGCTCAAGCTGGTCTCGAACTCCTGAACTCAAACGATCCATCCACCTCAGCCTCCCAGAGTGCTAGGATTACAGGTGTGAGCCACTGTGCCTGGCCGATGTATGTACTTTTAATTGAACCATTAATCCTACTCCTCAGTTCATGACACATTGTCATCATCATTATTATATCATTGGGTGGTAAGAGGCCACTCTTGTTTTATTCATGCATTTCTTTCTTTTCTTTTTTTTCATTCTCCACTGCCCACCCTACGTCCTTATTGGCAACAATTGTAATATAGTTAAGGGTATTTTGTATGCAGCTCAGACCATCCTGGCTCCTCTTTCTTCATCTCTGGGTGCAGTAGCCCTGTCTAACCCAGAGGACTGTTCCTCTGCACAGATCTGTTATGTCTCTTTGAAGAGGTGATGTGTCCTCCACATCCAGGATGGGATCTAGGGGGCTCCTTCCTAGGTTTCACAGGAAGACTAGTACCGTGGTAAAACATCTACAGCACCCTGCTAACCCTTGAATGGACTTTCGCAAAGATCACCCCACCTTGGACCCCATACAAACTAAGTGCCAAAATCTCATTAGAAGTCATTTTCATCTATAAATAAGTGCCTGCCTTATTTTATCATTATTATGTTGTTTTGAAGCCAGTGTCATTCCAGTGTCATATTTTTATCTGCTAAAAAAGAGTTTGGCATAAATGTTATATAGTGGATAAAGTCATGTGTCTGTACTAATTTTTTCTGAGACAACAGTCTGTTTTAAGTTTCTTTCTACTACCATATGTATAGTACTTTGATTATCATACTTTCATATTGCAGTTATCTCCTCTTATCAGTTCCTGGTAATAAATCATTATATTTGTCATTTCAATTACCTTTGAATACCAGAAACATGGGTAGATTTTCATTAACTTAAAATTGCCGATTAATCAACTCCTAATTATAGCATCCAAAGTACAGACATTTAAAATTCAGCTGTTTGATAAGATTGTGTGTGTGTGTGTGTGTGTGTGTGTGTGTTTTAAAAAATTACCTAACTAAATTATCCTGAGGCAAGTCAATTTAAAATAAACATTTAGCATCAATCCTGATTTTTTTCCTTCAATAACAGATTTAAATCTTAATGTAAAATAAGTGTGCTTTGTGCCTTGTAGTAATACAACTTTTTTTCTTACAGAATTTGATTAACATTGCAGGAAAACAAATACGTTAAGAAGGAAAAAAAATACTAAGAGATCTATGAGATCCTTAGAAAAATTGCCAAATACTTTCTTCCAATTCCACTTATTTTGGTGTTCCAAATATGGAAATAGGATAAATGGTTCTGGAAATTGTAAAAGTGTAGTATTGGCAGGGGGAAACTTATTATTAAGAAGTGTCTGGGCATGGTGGCTCATGCCTGTAATCCTAGCACTCTGGGAGGCTGAGGCAGGAGGATCGCTCAAGGTCAGGAGTTTGAAACCAGCCTGAGCAAGAGTGAAACCCTGTCTCTACTAAAAATAGAAAGAAAATAATTGGACAACTAAAAATATATAGAAAAAATTAGCCGGGCATGGTGGCGTGTGCCTGTAGTCCCAGCTTCTTGGGAGGCTGAGGCAGGAGGATCACTCGAGCCCAGGATTGAGGTTGCTGTGACCTAGGCTGACACCAAAGCACTCAAGTATGGGCAACAGAGCAAGACTATGTCTCAAAAAAAAAAAAAGTCTCTGGTGGTAATATTTCTATGGTATCATAGTTGGAAGTTATTTAATTGAACAAGGGTATTATAAATAAGAGTTAAATCCATGAATATAAAAATTATGTCTGAAGACCTGCTCTTAAAGAATATGGGCTCTGAGAATAGTGATGGAGAGAGACCACCGATGGGTCCAAGGAGAGTCTCCCATCCTGAGAATCAGAGCTGCTCCGTTATAATACCTTTGTCCCCTCGCCATTAATCCAAAGTATGGGTTCCTAGGGAACTACGGGGCTGTTACTGTCTAAGGGAGGGTTTAGACATTTAATCAGATTAGGGATTAGATCATTGGTCAGTTGGTGCTAAAACAGTCAGAGACTGCCAAAAAACAGGCAAACTTTCAACGTGAAGAAGCACCTTTGTTGCTTCTGCCCTAAGTGGGGTTGGAGCTATTTCTGAACCTGCAGCCCGGAGCCCTCCACTTTGAAGGTGACTGTGTGACCTGCTATCCTTTATCCTCTCTGTTGTGTACCAGTATGTTTCCCATCCAGGGCTACTGTTGGCTCATGCTGCATCTGTGTGCAAATGAGGGAGACGTGCTCCAGGCAGACCGTCAGAGCCCTACACCCAGCCTGGCCAGGAGCTGGGCTGGGCTCCTTTCCCACCACAGCCCGCTCAGCTCCGGTGGCTGTCCTTCCACCAGTTCTCAAACAAGCGCGAGCCTCCTTCACCCTTTAAAAACCCTCCCTTGGGCCAGGTGCAGTGGCTCATGCCTGTAATCCTAGCTCTCTGGGAGGCTGAAGCGGGTGGATCGTTTGAGCTCAGGAGTTCGAAACCAGCCTGAGCAAGAGCGAGACCCCGTCTCTACTATAAATAGAAAGAAATTAATTGGCCAACTAATATATATAGAAAAAAATTAGCCAGGCATGGTGGCGCATGCCTGTAGTCCCAGCTACTCAGGAGGCTGAGGCAGCAGGATCACTTGAGCCCAGGAGATTGAGGTTGCTGTGAGCTAGGCTGATGCCACGGCACTCACTCTAGCCTGGGCAACAAAGTGAGACTCTGTCTCAAATAAAAAAAATAATAAAAAAATAAAAACCCTCCCCCGGACACCACATCTCCCTCTGGTGACGACTCTAAAGCTCAGTTCCCCTTTCCACCCTTCGATAAGGTCACCAGTGGTTCCATGAGGCTAAATCCAAGGAACTGTTTTTGTTCCTCATATTACCGGCCCACTCAGGAAACTCTGACCTGCTGATCACTCTCTCCTTAAAATGCTCTTCCCGCGGCCTCTGTGAACCACACGTTTCTGGGATTTGTGCTTGTTCTCTCCAGCCTCTCTCTCAGTTTCTTTGGCTGGGGCTGCCTCCTTGAAACCATGTTTAAATGTGAGCTTTGCTCAAGCCTCAGTCCTGACCTTCTCTCTTCCCACTCTCGACTCTTTGACTGACCTCAATACTATCCCCACAGCCAGGGAAAACCTTATTCCTCCGTCCTCACATCCACCCAAGAGCGGACGGTACTGGAGCCCAGCCGCTGGCTCTTTCCACCACTCACCACTCCTCTCCAAAGATCAGCAAATGAGCTGACTGGGAGGCTGGGACAGGCTCCACAAGCTCCGGTGAGCTGCACCACAAAGCTAGGTCTGGCCATCTCACCGGAGCCACCTCTGTCTCTCCCCAGGGGATACCCCCAGCAGGGCTGAGGAGATTCAGTCCAGGGGGAACATATTAGGAAGCCCCATGATGGCTGTAGAGTCTCAGCTGCATTTTCCAATTCAACTTTATCAGCAATCAAGTTGACATATTGATTCCTAGTGGTGGCCTGGTTCTAATTCTCAGTTCTAATTCAACGGAGGGTGGATAATGTGTACCTCTACCACCAGCCCCAACCCCACACATGGCCTGCAAACCAGAAAAGCTTGAGGAATAGGCACAAGGACAGGGCTTTGGAGACTTAAGATATACTCAGAAAGAAGAATGCTTCAGAGGTGGCTGGGATAAGAGGTGTCTGTACTTTAGTAAGCACAGGGCTTCTAGTTCCTTGACTTCTACGGACACAGCAATTTAATGAGACTAGTGTCACAGGGCCTCAGCAAACCCAGGCCTTTGCAACCTCAGTATACACAGGCTGCGCAGATTTTTTGTACCTGACAGATCTAAGCAGGTGCACCCAACATAGAGATCAGATGAGTCGCTCAGTCACTTAAAACATGCAGAGCTTCAGTGAATAAATTCTTTAGGTAAAATCAGTAGTTGGGATAATTTTTTGCTGTTCTGACCATGTTTCTCAGGCAAACACA